GAGAAGGCTATGGCTAGAGTCAAGCCCTCAGGGCAGCCTAGTGGTGGGTCATCCCTTGGGAAGAGGAAATTTGAGGGGAGCCGTCGGTCCCTTTTCCTTGCACCACCTAGGTCTGAAATCAGCAAGGGCTCTAGATGGTCAGGAGCCACCAAGACAGCGAGTCAGGCATCATCGACCCCACGTGCTCGTCCTACTCAGCCTATTTGCCATGTTTGTGGGAAGGTCAGGCACACCCGGGATCAATGCCACATTACTACTGGGGCTTGCTTCAAATGTGGCAAGCAGGGACACCGGATTGCAAATTGTCCACTGCTAGACCCCAAGACTCAGGGCACTCAACCTACCTCTCCACAGGGTTCTACCAGTCAGGGGGCGCAGAAACAGAGTACTGGGGTTCGGACAAGAGCCCAGCAGGCGAGAGTGCAAGTGATGACTCACAAGGAAGCTGCGGCTACCGACGTAATCACGGGTACCTTGCCTGTTAACTCTAATTATGCGCATGTTTTATTTGATTCGGGTGCATCGCATTCTTTTATTGCTCGATCCTATGTTTTGAAACGAGCTTTGCCTGTTGATATCTCTGATTGTGAACTGCACGTGGACACCCCTTTAGGAGGGGTGATGACTACTAGGGAGGTGTGTAGGACTGTGGATATTTATGTTGATGGTAGACAGTTGAGTGCTAGTTTGTTTGTTTTAGACATCTCCGACTTTGATATCATTTTGGGGATGGATTGGCTGTCTAAGCACTTTGCCTCTATAGACTGTCATCGGAAATGGGTAAATTTTAATATTCCTGGTGAGCCAGAATTTAGTTTTCAAGGCAGTGGTTCTTTTGCTCTACCCGTGTTAGTATCTGCCTTGCAGGCTCAGAAATATCTTGTAAATGGTTGCCAGGGCTTCCTAGTCTCTGTTACTGACTAGAAGACATACCGGTGGTGCATGAGTTTCCGGATGTATTTCCGGAGGATCTCCCAGGTTTACCTCCGGATAGAGAGGTTGAATTTGCTATTGACCTTGTTCCTGGCACCGGACCCGTTTCTAAAGCACCATACCGTATGGCTCCTGCAGAATTGAAGGAGTTAAAGGTCCA